TGAATCTCAGATGTGGTGATAAAAATGCCCATAATGCCTATTTTCATATTTTAAACCTACATGTGCTATGTCTCCCACAGTTATGCAATTTAATTAAATCACATAGTAGTAAACCCTTAGAGGTGCAAAGGTCTTTGGCAGCATCTTACAGACCTTGGGGCTTTAGGAACAAAACCAAGAACACATGGGAGAGCTGCGTGCTGTACAACAATCTGTTGGGAAGCAGGAATGCTGGGGCCAGGGATGGATTACAGCGCAGCCTCCCATCAGCACCAGGAAGAACTGAAGGATGCTCTCATATTAGCTTTTTGCAAACCTCCTGGGCAAAAAGAACTGCAGAGGACACTCAGGCTTTCCACCAACTGGATAGGGTTTCTGCCAACAAATACAACTTACGTTCAAACAGAAAACTTCAGGAATGACAGAAGCCCTAACTCTAAACTGACCTCATGAATTTATGCTGTATTTCCATCCACAAGAGGTTTCACAACCTGAGAAATTCCCAGCCGGCTCACACACTGCTGAGTGGTCATCCTGCCAAGTCTCTGCTTCCCCTGTCGGGGTTTGGTTGATCCAGGGAGCCAAAAGGCAGGCAGGCAAGAGCAGACCATCCCTGCTCCTGCCAGCTCTAGGTTAGGAGGGGAATTCAGGATTCTATGAGTATTTGCAATGAAAACTCAGCATTCATTTCATAGTCTCCTTAATTTTTCTTGTCCAAGTGCATCATGGGAACTGACAAGGTGGAGAATGGGCTATCTGACAGATTCATTTTATTGGTTATATTTCCTTAATGAGGCTCAGAGTATTTCCCAAAACTGATGGGAGTCACTTTCAGAATCCTTGGTTCCCAATTCCCTGTGGGTCTGGAGTTTAATGTGCTGGAGTAGGAAATCTATGTTCTGTTCATCAAATTGCATCATCATGGTGCTATCATGGTGCTACATTCTTCCTGCTGTCACTAAGAGCAGAAGTAATGCTTTGGGACCATAAGCACTGAACAGATTTGGGGAAAACTGAGGACCTTCTACCCTTTCCAGAGCAGGAATGTTTTGGCTGCAAGTTGGTCCCTGATGGGTGAGGAGGGGTGTCTCACCCTTGTCTGAAAGGATGTCTCTTTCCTCTGTGTTTTCTCAGCACCCCGACCTACCAGGTTCACCAGGATGAGCACCGAGTCCCCACACAGACTACTGAAACTGGCAATTCAGAGCTTGCTGAGGGACGAGGCCTTGGCCATGGAGGCCATGGAACACCTGCCAGGGGAGCTCTTCCCGCCAGTGTTCACGGAGGCCTTTACCAGGGGACACGCTGAGGTTGTGAAGGCCCTGGTGCTGGGCTGGCCCTTTTCGTACCTGCCACTGGGAGCTCTGAGGACGAGGGAACCAGGGACTCTGGGCACTCAGGAGAATGCTGTCCAGTTCCAGCAAAGGGTGTTACAAGCTGTGCTGGATGGGCTCGACCTGCTGCTGAGCCCAGTTTGCTCCAGGTGAGTGTGACCCAGGTTCCCTGGAGGGGGCTCCTGGGATTCC